TCCCCTCCAAGCCTCCCTCAGATGAAGGCCTGTTACTTCTGCACCTTAGGTAAATAAAGGCCTGCCTCTAATCCAAGCCTGCCTCAGATGAAGGCCTGTTACTTCTGCACCTTAGGTAAATAAAGGCCTGCCTCTAATCCAAGCCTGCCTCAGATGAAGGCCTGTTACTTCTACGGCTTAGGTAAATAAAAGCCCTGGCCGCTATGTGAGGAAATACGTTGTGTACTAAGATTTACAACATGCCTCAAGCTTCACACAGATCTGCAGTGCTCTTGCCCAGCATTACACGCCTGTAACTATGTTAGGGGGAGCTGTAGGAGGCAGGCCGCCCAGCTGTCAGGTGCTGTTCTGGATGCTCTCCAAACCGTCCTGTGAGTCAGTGTCCTGTTAGACTCCACACCCCCAAGCGCCGCTTCACTGCCAGCCACCGTAGCTGCGGGGGTGGGGGAAGGTGCCATTCTCTCATAAAGTTGTATAAACATGCATCTGACATCACACACCTGGCTACCCCCCCCGAGGCAAACGCTGCCTGCTGGGGTGTGTTACTGCCACCAACAGACACGTGTGCACAGTGCCGTCCGCACAGTATCCTGCTGGGGAGGGACTGCAAAATCAAGATGTTTGCAAGAAAATGTACAGTAAAGGTCTTTAAAAGCTAATGAGGTGAAACTGAAATACTGTATGTCTGTGATATTATTATTCATAAACACAGTATCTTGTAGAAGCCCTACAAAAAAAAAACACTGCAGGTGTTTCTGGGTAATTTTCTGCCAATGCTTGGTGGTGTTTTTGCTCTTGGTTTTTGATAGATCTGCACAACCTTTCCCATGTTCTGGGGGGGGGGGGTGGTTAGCTTCACTCCCAACTATATATATCTGTGTGTTCAAAGCAGATGAAGAGATACTGACCATGGATATTGGGGGAAAAAAGCAGCCCAGTGCCCAATGTACCTGCATGTAATGGTACACATGGGAATGGCCAATGAAGCATTGCTTCGTTTGTCATATTTCTCATGGACACAGTTAAAGTCTTTGCGTAGATTGTCTGTTGCTTTCAGGACAGAATGTCTCCTCACCTTCTCAAGGACGTCCGATGTCTTTATTCTTAGCCTGTTTCTCCACAGCCTCGTCCTTACTCTTTATATCACTGTCCCACTGAAAGAAAAGTTTGCCCCAGTTTTGTATTTTTAGTTGATTGAAAGTTCCTCCGGGATTTATCTGAAGTGATATCAGCACTTGCTTCTTTCCAGTGGAACCAGCTCCCCGCTACATGCCTTAGCTGCTGCTGTGTTGTGTATGTAATAGTATATTGGGTGTAAAGCACAGCTCTGGGACTGCAGGTGTAGTGTTGGAAATTTCATACAGGGTTTGAGATTATTTTAGCTTATTTTCCATAATGATCTCTGTCTTTCCCCCTACGATTGATGTGTTCTAATTATCGTTGATCAGTGTTCCGTTTACCCATTGCAGCCAATGGACTCGCTAATTTGTGTGGATGCTGAATCTGAATCACTGATCTACGCCACATGTGGAGTAAAAGGCACCCTTCCTGCTCCTTGGTGACTAGCAGGGATATTCATAGACTTTTTAAAAAATGTTCTTCTGATCTCTACGCTTCATTGTCATTGTGCTTCACTTTGTTTTGAAAGTTCTCTGTTTTCTTTTTTCAATATTTGTTTGAAATTCATGATTAATATATCTTTGTTTCTAGCGTTGCTATAAATGCGTGGTTACAGGTTGTAGTTTGTGTGTGTGCTGAGTTCTAATTCCTTCTTTAAACTATTACTGTGAGTTTAGAGTAGCTGAATATCATTTGTCTTTTGTCTGTTTTAGGAATCGCATGACTAAAATTCGCTAAGAAGCAGTGTTTTTGTACGAGTAGGACTTAACCCAGTGGTGTAAAATATGCCTTGTGTAGATGAAAGCAGATATACATTACTTGGTAATACACTAATTTCTCACTAATACACAAATTTTCACTAAGATCTTGTAAGCACTGATAACCACCAGAGGTATATGTTGGCTTCTTCATTAATATTAAGCCTGATGTAATTTACTAAGCTGCAGCTCTGTGTCTGGGTTTGGCACAGTGAACATTGTGGAAGATTCCATTCCTGATTATGTAAGATGGTACATCCTGTGTGGGAACAATTGAACATCTGGTCCCTAGCAGTTACAAAGATACTTTGTATGTTGTACATTTTTGTATATATAAACAGGCCTCAGATTTGCAAGTGTTATCTGTTACTCGGCTGGAAAAAAATGTTTGCTTAATCGAAACTAATTTAAATCATAATTCCCTTTTTTGAAAATGAGAAAGGATAAGAAGTCTTGTATTTAATTTTAATTTTCTGTGCTGGTATGTTCAACAGTATGACATTGTGGGCCATTCGGGTGACGGATTTGACATTGAGCTCGTAAAAAGTGACAAGAGCCCCAAGAACAACAAAGACAGACTGAAGGTGCTCAAGGTGAGTTTAAGCAAGAGCAATGGCCAAGTTTCAGAAGGCTTTACTGAGGAGTTTGTGTGTGTGTGTGTGTGTGTGTGTATGTGCACGCACACTCCTTGTTTCTGTGTAGTCTTTTTCATGTACAGCATAAAATCTAGACATTCCAAATTCTCTTAAGAGACATGTACTCTCCTGCTTTGAGTTAAGCAAGGGGAGAGGTCTCTGAGCTGCCAAAAGTGATTATTTTTAGATAATAAAATAAATAATGAACTTTTCCATAAAATACAAATAAAACAATTGAACTCTCTGTTCCACTTACAGCAGGATATTTACAGACGAAGGCCAGTTTAGGCCTTTAGCTACAGAAGAGCACTGAGGCCCAGTGCAGGCCCCATTGTTGCTCCATTCAGGGATCGATTGTTTACTAACAGTGTGTTCCTGGCACCTTCCTGCACCACCCAGACCATGCATGCTCACTCTCAGTTCTGCATGAGTGGGGACTACACCCTGGAGGGCACGGAGCATGCCATCAAGGAGCTGTCCCGGGAGGAGGCCGACGAGCACTTCGTAATCGTCCTGAGCGACGCCAACCTGGAGCGTTACGGCATCCGGCCCGACCGCTTCGCCCAGACGCTAACGAGCGACCCACAGGTTAACGCCTTCGCTATCTTCATCGGGTCCCTGGGCGACCAGGCTGAGAGGTGAGTGACCCGTGCGGCTGGCCATTTTCAGGGCACGCTCACGAAGACGCCAAAAACGTCAAATGTTACGGCAAAATGTCAAAAATGCCGTCGAAAGAAACTCTTTGGTTTTCCGCCCCGGAAACGTGCCAATTACTGCGCTCCGTACAGCCCCTTTCCAGAAAGATGCTCAGGCATTGTTTAAAAGCTTATCTAAAATTACACCGCTCCTGATTTTCCGCTAGTTTAGCTCTTCTCTTTTCAGCCAAAACAATGAGGAAAGCAGTGTTGAAACACAATGAGCGTTTCTCAATCACTGCCGTTCTTGACTTTCTGGGATCTCTTGAAGGCTGTGAGTGCATCGCAGACATATTGTGACACATCCTCTTCTGGTATTTCACAGTTTCACAAACTTTATCTTCCGATTGCTGACAATGTTGTACTAATATCCTCCTGAGACCCCACCCATTCATGTATGTCCATTGCAGTGGGCATTTTGTTTTTGCATCTATCTTTTCACTGATGTAAGGAAACATATTTATTCCTGTTGTGCACTAAAGGGGACATGCTGTGAAATTAAAAATAAAAATAAATTTGGAAAAATCTAAATTGTAAGATGTCTTATTTCCTTCAAAGACAAATAGCCTAAATTGAAGGACACTTTTTTCCTTGGGTCTCAGGAGGATATACTGTAGGAGCGGTTGGGGGTAACATTGCACACTCCAGACTAATACGTTTAAAGCTGCGATCTTTGTCTTCTGGGGTAGCTGTGTCTTTTTTTATACATATGTGTTGTTCTTAAAGGGAAAAATGACATTAATGAATGTGCTTTGTAGGGAGAGAGGCATTGTGTCCCTGAACAGCCAGACTGATATACAGCTTTCAGATCTTTTTCTCTAACAATGCATTGCTTCTGGCCTTCTGTCCCACAAAGGCACCTCTATGAATGACAGCCATTGTCTCCTCATTGAGAAGTTGGAGGGGGCCATGTGTGATGGGACATTTGCAATGGTAATGGGGTTTTTTTCTGGCCCGGGGGGGCGTTCTCTTCCATCGCTAGGCTCCAGAAAACGTTGCCGGCGGGACGGTCGTTCGTCGCCATGGATACAAAGGAGATCCCCCAAATCTTGCAACAGATCTTCACCTCCACCATGCTGTCCAGTGCCTGAGAAGGCCCCGCCCCCTTCCTGCGGTCCTTGCTACCTCTAACTAAAGGCCACACCCACCGAAGTCGGCCATACCACCGCAGTATGAGTGACCTGCCTTGACGGATGAGCAGTAATCTCTGTCTGAATGCTCTTATGGAGAAGTCTTTTATTTGCCTTAGATATTTTTGAGTTTATTAGGATTTTCATTGATGCTATAGAATTGCCAGGTGTCGCTAAAATTACTACCAGACCTAAATGAACAAAAATTGTTTAGTTTTCCACTCTGTTTTGCAGTTGACTTTCAATATTAATTGAAATGTATTAAATTATATAATTTTCAAACCAATAGAAATTTACTTCTTGTGTTACTGATATATAAATGTACATTCTTTTTCTGTATTGTGTGTAAATATTGTCCAGCTTTGTATTATTTCATTGTATGTACTTTAAGATAAACAATACAAGCTGCAATCGATATGGAAAAATGTATCAAACGTTTAACAATGAATTTCTCACACAAATTCTCTCCTGTCAGCTCGCCCTGCAACGTGTTTATGAGACGCTGGTGACCTTGTACGCGCCTTGGATTAGCGCCTCTTCGCTAATGAGCGATTTCCTTCAGTAGCGAGTGGGGGGGTTGGGGGGGGGGGAGACTGGACTCCTTACCACCGCGTGATGGGGGGGGACATGTGCAGAAAGCTGGGTCGGGCTACTTTTTCCTGTCAGCAGACAGCGTGACTGGATCACGCCTCATCTGCGTCAACGGTTTGCGCTCGTAAATCTCTCACCCTGTCAAAAGAAAGCCAAGGAGAGAATTTCAAAGTGCTATCTGACACTGAGTTCCTTACGCAGCCTGCGACAAACCCCCCCCCCCCCAAAGTAAGTCTTGAGTTTCGTCACCAATTTGTCAGCACTGGCACTTTCCCTGGACGAGCCCGAGTGCAAATGTTGAGATGTGTGTCTGAAGGAGGTTGACTTTTCGCTGTGTGTTGATTAAGTTCCAGGCCAGTCTGACGCGTAGACGACATGCTTTGCACAGAGAGACACAGGCGGTGTGGTGGCCAGCATTCAGCATTCCCTCCAAATTCTGTTTTTGCAGGCAGACATGGGGAAACAGATTCTGTTTTGCCATAATTGCATGTTTTTCCTCTTGTTCTAGATACGGACCCAGACTAGCTGCTCCTCCCCAATCTTCCCTGTCTGCTAAACTCATGCATCTCTCTGGTATTCCCAGAGATGTTCTGCACTTCTTTAGTCAACAAACAAGTGAATCTGTTAGCTCCTTTAGCTCCTTCACGCTCCCGATGGCTCCGGGACAGTGTGACGCCTTGTTAGATGGCCCTTTTCCTCTAAGACCCAGCTCCGATTTCATGTCCCCTTCAACAACACACGGCACTGCCGGGAAGAACCTTTCGGCCCACTTGTGGGGAGTGTTTCAAGATGGCCGCCCGGCTCACCGTCAGGGAAGATGTGGCGGCAAGGTGACTCGTAAAACACAGCAGCCATATTGTAGTCTGATTAATGAAGGGTCCATTCCTGCTTTTGCCTGCCGTGTGTGTGTGTGTGTGTGTGTGTGTGTGTGTGTGTGTGTGCGTGCCTGCTTTATTAAGATATGTTACCAGATATGGCACACTGATCGCATCGTGTTCCTACTCCTTACGGGGCCCCGTGGAAAGCTACAGTGTCTAGTGTAAACATAAAAGCTAGTTATATAGTTAGATCGCCCGGCGTTGCTGTTCATTTTACTTTTGCCCCACAATCACTACATGTTATACATTTTCAACCATTTCTGTCTCTAGGAATTATAGACTTGATATTATTGTAACACTTGCAGTTCATAAATTAAGAAGTCTATAAATTCAGTCCATTTTCAGTGATGCAATATAAAAATGGCAACAGAAATATATGCATTAAATGCTGTTTGAAAGAAAAGGTTAATTGTATTTTGCACTGTAGATTATTTCAGTTTGTATGTACTACTGTGGTTTAGTATCAGGTCTATATTAATAAAAATGAAGTTAAAAATAGAAAAATAATGAGTTTAATGCGTTAATAAGATTTTATTGCTCCTTTTTTCCCCTAGTACAAAATCTTATGGTAAAGGAGTGTATTGAATTTCACCACTACATTATCTATACAAATATTTTCCGATCACTAAGGGAAAACAGAACCTCTCTTGTTCTTATATTTCAAGTTATTCAGAGTTGTTTGGTCCTTAGTGCTAGATGATATGAGGGTCATTCTCACAAGGCAGTGAGTGAATACTGAAGAGGCCATTATGGAATATGTTACACAGAGCCACATAATTACTTTTTAAACTCAGATTTTCCGTGTGCAGGATGGTCAAGGAGCAGAAAATTGGACTCTGAATTTAACTGTCAGTCTTAGCCAAAGAAGCATATGGTCCATTTCATTACAACCAGCTTCATGAACCATCACGCTTATAATTATATGGTAAGTACAGCTAATGTGTACTCCACAGTACTCTCTGAAGTCAAAAGCAGTAAATATACACCCTTCTTTCGTCCCCCACCTTTCATCTTTCCTCTCTGAGCATTTGTGGCTTTGAAACGTGCTCCAGAGTGTTCAGTCCTGAGATCATTCTGAGGAGCAGTCGCACGTTTTCGCAGCTGGAAATAGGGGAGCTGTGAATCCGCCGCGGGGCGGGTCAAGTAATTCCGGGCGCCTCTGACACCAGCGATCGTCACTGCGTCTAATGCGTTTGCCCGCATCTGCACATAAACGCCTACACACAAAGACTTCTGTGTCCCTGTTGTTATGTAACATTGCCACACTTGTCAGGCCCGTAGAAAGGAATAAATATTGTTCTGAAAATGACATGTCTAAGTCTACAGAAGTTTTTACCACAGGGACTGGTAGGAAATAGCAAAAATACTTTGCTAATCGGAGACTGTTCCCTTCTGTCCGGTTGCAACATTGAAAACATGCAATGTCTGTGATACGCCATGTCTGAGTAGTTAGCCGCGTAGCCCCTTATTTGCTCTTTGTAATGGACTGTAGTGCTCTGTCTACTTTCATCCAGTTGTGTGTGAAGGACCAATCGATACTGGGTGAGTAAGAAGTAATGACAGAGTGTCGGTGCAGATGACAGGTTCTGTGCCTCGCTTAGGCTTCATCAGGTTCACTTGAAGAGCAAATTTCCGAAACTCACTCAGACCCTGTTTGAGACGAGACTGCCGATGACCTAAATTCATCATGCACTGTATGGACAGAAGTACTGGGACACCTGGCCATTACACCTACAGGAACTTTTATGACATTTTATTCTAAATCCATAGGCTTTAATATGGAGTTGGTCCCCCCATTGCAGCTATAACAGCTGCCACTCTTCTGGGGAAGCTTTCCATAAGATTTTGGAGTGTTTCTGTGGGAGTTTTTGCCCATTCATCCAGAGGAGTGTTTGCGAGGTCAGGCACTGATGTTGGATGTGAAGGCCTGACTCACGATCTCCATTCTAGTTTATCCCAAAGGTGTTCGTTGGAGTTGAGGTCAGGGCTCTGTGCAGGCCAGTCAAGTTCTTCCGCATCAAACTCACCCAAACATGTCTTTATGGACCTTGCTTTGTGCACTGGGGCACAGTCATGCTGGAACAAACATTTCCCACAAAGTTGGAAGCTTAAAGTTGTCCAAAATATCTTGATATGCAAAAATTCCCACAGACACATTCCAAAATGTTGTGGAAAGCCTTCCCAGAAGAGTGGCAGCTCTTATGGCTGCCAGGGAAGGACCAACCCCATATTATTGCCTATGGATTTAGAATGGGATGGGATGTCATAAACATTCCCTGTGGGTGGAATGGCCTGGTGTCCCAATTCTTTGTCACAGTATTGGGAACCCAAACTCACTCAGCCCTGATGTAATTTCATTCCACAGAAATGTTCTTGAAAATGTATATTATGAACTGAATGGGTTTTTCTCTTCATTTCACATCCCCTTGTAAAACAAAGCGTTGCAGTTTGCGTACATAAAAAAGTGTGTATTTCTGTCTCTGTTGTGGACTATTTTCTGACTCTGAAATTCTGAATTCTTTGGTCCAAAGTGGAATCACAGTAAGGTGCCGCCACTGCTGTAGTGCCTTGGCATTAGTGCCACATAGATGGGTGAGAGAATGTACCGGAATGACCCATTGCCTCCTGGGGCTGCTCATCCATCGTTAATGATTTCTGATCTGTTTTACGGACGAATGCAGAATCATGTCCTGTCGTATTGAACTCTAGTGTTGGGCTTCCTGCTCTGCTGACTGTGCTGCTGGACATCCAGCCCATGAGCTCCACCGGAGATGTTGGGGAGCTGTGCTGAGCCTGGCCCTGGAGAGGCGTGGCCCAGACTGTCCTATAGCCATATGGACAGATCTCCTCTGCATGTCTGTGTGCTGAGACACCAGAGGACCTCAGATCTCAGGCGTGTGTCGTCAGGAAGTGAAAATGGATCTCTGTCCTGGCAATGCACAGTAATTATGTCCCTCGTTATCCGCTCCCACCACGGGAGGTGTAATATTAACCCCCCCAGATGTTGAACAGAATGGATGTGGTTCATTGGTCTAAGCTCTTTTGGATAAAACAAAAACGGATTTGATTCGAAATATAAATATATCACAGGTTGATATGAGAGTTGCTTGTGGGAGAGGAAGGATGTAGATTCTGTCAGGTGATGGAATGCTGTAATAGTCATATGAACTTCATCTTGCATTGTGTAGGAACTTAAGTGTTGCGCTATTGAGTAATATTTGCTTGAGTTCTACTATTGAGCAGTGACTGACAAACAACACTCTTAAAACTTTACTACACATTTTAAATATGCTTCTAAGAATCAAAGCTATTAAATATTAGTTACCAGGTACAGTGAATGGTAAGATAAACTAAGAAAGTAAGTTAATAATTTTTTGAGATATTGTCTGGTTTGTACTATTAATTATTTAATAATGGCTTGGGCTGGAAAATATAGTTTGCCATTTATTGATGTATTTTATCTAGTATGTATGATAGGGCCCCTGGTGACCCAAAGGTAATTAATAATTAATTAAAAGGAAGTTAACATCACAGTAATAAATTTGTGTTTGTCAGTGAAAACCATTAAGGAAAATTCCACTCCCACAGTTGCAGTATTACTTTATTAGTAATTCAACACCTGGGGGAAAAAAACAGCTGCGTGATTAGTTACTTCATTTAGCAGGTCCATCAGAACCAGGACATTTCTCTCCTAAAGACTTGTATTTTCTTACCGCAGTGTTTACGTTGTTACGCAGTGTTTCATTTAATCGACTGCCCACTTTTGAACCAGGCAGCACTGAGAAAGCAGACAGGGTCCAAATCCAGCTGGAAGACGTCTCCTCTTCGGCCCTGAGCTCAGCGGCTCCTACTCGCAGCCCCGCACCCAGCTGGTCGAGCTGGCTTGGCTGACCTCCTGCTCCTCCCCAGCTGCCCACCAGCCTTTCACTAAAGGATTCTGCTACATGCCAGTAATACAGTGTCGCACTGCATTCCTACAATATGATACTTGCTCCCATCATGTGGTTTATCCCCCACTGTCTGCTCCCATATTATTCCGTGTAACAGTGTTGCCCTGTAAAATCTGATTGGCACCTGAGCCAATCACAGCACAGAGAAATGAAATAATGTTCCTCCTGGACCCACGGTGCAACATTCACAACAGGACAGAGAGTTTTCGGAATAATTTACATTATAATTTACACTTAAACATCTGGCTGGCTTTAGTGGTTCCAGTGTCATTTTTTTTGTTTAAATTAGCATCTGATTCGCTCTGAATTTTTGAGTATTATTTTAGCTGTCCCTGTTTGTTTGCTGGGTGTATGCTTTGGCAGGTCTAGGTTTGTAGTCCTATGCCTTAGAAGGCTTAGAAGGATACCTCTGCTTCACCTTTCACGTATTTGATAAAGGAAAGCAGCAAGCTTTAAAACCGGCCAGAGATTAATGAATTTGAAGCATATGCGTCATAAACAAAAGGGCCCGAAACGACGTGGAAATGTTTTGCCGTGTATATTACTTTTCTGTTTTCTCATTTGCTTTGAGGTTTCCTCACAAAGTCAAAGTTAAGCAGTTAGACTAATCGGTATGTCAAATTGCCTGTAGTGACTGCCCATTGGCCGCTGGCTGGGAGGGGCGTGGCCCTGCAATGACCTGGTATCCTGTCCGCGATTTTGGCCATCTTTGTGTTTGATGTTGGCCATGCACCAACCCCCCCCCTCGTGCCTTCCAGGCTTCCTGCAACTCCATCTAGGAATCTAGAATAAATATTTGATGGATGGATGGATGGATGGATGGATGTTGAGTATAGTGATGATGGGTGGATGGGTGGAGGATTTGTTATTTCAGTAAAGGAAAGGGCTGTTGCACTCAGTAATCATAAAATTAGATTTTTATCATTCAGACTAAATTACTCACAGAGACAGATGTAAAAGAATACTTTCACTGTGGTAGCCTAAATGTTTGAGAGATATAATTATCCAAATTACTGTAATCCATTTCACTGTTTCCTGCGCGTGGTTTATGGCTAATTACTTTGTACCTCATAGCTGGACCATGATCAGTGGTCGGTTGGCTTGGCCTGTTGTTGTTTTAAACCGCCTCTGTCCTGTACTGGGGAATTTCACACATCAATAAGAAAGTAGCTCATTGCCCTGCCCTGCTTTTAAATGCAGAGCTGTTATTGATCTACTAACTTTTGACTTTTTTGATTGCCACTATTTTTATCAACAGTAGGTAGTTTATGACTATGCTTATCAGCCTGTGAATCTGAATAACATTTCCTGTTAAATGTTCTATTAAATGAACTGTGAGGTAATTTAGTGAATATTTTCGTTGGGGTGTTTCCCACGCCTTAAAAAAACAGAAATTTTTATGCCTAGAAGGAGATGTCATAGGACTTTCCTGTCATGTGAGAGTCTTCCAAAAGAAGAT